GTGGGCCAAATTGGGAGCTGTAGCTAGCAGTGATGGCTGGGTTGTGGTGTTTTGATATTTAGAGGGTATAGTTTGAGATTTATTTTGATTATTTTTTGGGGGTCGTTTTAGTTGGAATTGAAATGCTGGTTAGGTAGATGTAAAAGCTAGTGATTTTGATGATCGGAAAGGGATGATAAACCGAAATCGGGATGCTAATCTAGTTCTTATAGCAGCAGTTTTTCAATTACAATGCAATTTTATGGTGTACTTCGTACATTTTCAGTACATTTTACGAAACTGAGAACATTGCAGGTTTGGGCTTTTAATGATCAGTTGACGTAGTACTTATGTATTCATTCTACTACTGAGATTTATATTGTTTATACGTGATCATGCATTATTATTGAGTCCAGCTGAAGTATGATGTTTAAAATTAGACGAAGTTATTGATGAATATTGAAACTTAAATTTAAAAAATGTCTTATCTCAGGTTTTTAAATAATTTAGTTGGATAATTGGCTTCTTTGGTTGTTTACACTATGAATACACTTTATGAAGTATAATATGACTTACCAGCCAGCTATGCCATTGGGTTGTATCTCTTGCAGGAATATGCCAAGCTCTCCCTTGTCCTTACTGCGAAGCCCAACAACACTGAACCCTAGGCTGGTTCCCTCAGGCTTGTACAGCTGGAACAACAATTATTGTATTGCATGATTATCCTGTCAATTGTACATTGGACTACAAAAGAATAAAATATTTAATTACCTGTACTGTAAATATCTGACGACCTCTAGCTGCAGCCTCAATAACTTTTTTGAACTCCTTGACGTATGTAGTTGTTGTAATAGGAGGAATACCCATCACTTCCGAAACCAAGCTTGGACTTGTAACCTGTAATAAAATTTCAATGTAATTATAATGTTTTATGCAACCACTGTTTGAGTGTGTACGAATTAGAAACATACCTGTGCACTTGTATCCTCGCTGCTGCTATGCACCAATGGAGCTACAGGAACCCTTTGATCATCAAGTTCGCTACTATCTTGGTATAAATCCTGATACATATTTGGCCCAAGCGGTTGGACTGGAGTACTAGGAACAGAAAGTTCCAACTGTCCACTGATATTGATGTCAAAATCTCCAGGCAATATAGATGGATGCTGACCCAACTGAGTATTCAATTCGATGAGGGAATCTTGTATTGTCACTATGCTACGGAATACCGGATCCTCCAGTAGAGAAATTAAGGACTTTATATCCTGAGTGGTATGCATTTGTAACTTAGGATCATCACAATCTTCCACCCTCTCTTGCACATGCTCCAATAAATGAAGCGCTGTAGATATATCTGAAATTTTAAGAAGAAAGAATTTAAATGACAAGTCATGTATTAAGCTCTAAGTAAACCCAGAAGTGATAAATAATTCTAATGGAAATTTATATTGAAGTTAATATTAGAAAAGGTTGTATTACAACCTATAATTCTATTGTAAGAATTATATCATGCTAATTATATAACTGACGTTATTTAAAATACACCAAAGAGAAAGTGAATTCTGTTTACCTGTGTTCAAAGGCATCTTGATGCTGTCAGTTCTGATTTTCTTAATGGAGTATAAAAATTCCTGTGCTTCTACCTGTAAGAAAATCAACATATATTCATGTAAAAACTGTGAGACACATATATTTAATAGTTTAAATCTAATGCACATGTATGATTAAATGAATGGAAACTGTTTAAATGGAATATTATCTTAACCTCTACAATAGGTAAATGTTAAGAGCAATTGATTAAAATGCTTGCACGTCTAATTTAAATTGGTAACCATACGATTACTGAGAAGCTATCCACAATTAAATAAATTGACGTTAACTTTAGCTCAACCATGAATTTATCGTAAATCAATACGCCTGTTCATAGAATTTTTTGTATTAATGTTCTTCTCAATTACCTTGCGAAAGTCTTCCCAAGAAATTCAAATTGAAGATAAACCAGCTGCGAATGAATATCGCTCACGGAAATTCACAATTGCGCACAAAAATTACAACCGATTTCATTAAATATCACAGAAAGCGTGTAATTGCATTTTGCCATCAGCTGACTGTACCAAACTATCGAGCACTTGACAGTTCTTCCCATAGAGAAAGCAAAGCAGGTAGATCGACTTCGAGTATAACAATGCGTTCGATCATGGTGGCACGTTCGAGGCGGGAAAATTTGAACGGTAACAAACGAATGTCACGTTCAACAAATTTACCATTCAATCAATTTTCCGACTTTCCTACCATTTTCTAAAAACAGTTGAAAATGTTCTATTTTCATTATTAAATCAAACATTTCCTCTCAATTTTTTACGATGCTTCAATAAATCTTTTTTATGTCACAACCATTTTTTACTTAATTCTAACAATTATTTCATACAATTGATAAATACTAAATAAAGACATATATTTGAATAATAACCACCAGAAAACTCAAATCTTTCCGTGAAGTAATAACCAAACAAAAGGTCATCATAAAATTCAAGAATTACTAAAAATAAATTAAAATATATGAAAAATCAATTAAAAATTGATTCCTTTTAAATACATAAACTTCCATTTGTCACCACCACACATTTCATCATCAAGAAACCCTACCAATAATCCTCTAATAATTATACCCATAAAAAATCCCAGAATCAGGCACCCATAAAAGCTAATACCAACATAAATTCGGTACAATCGATAAAACAAAACATTCCAAAATAAAACCCAACATCAAACCGATAACCAGCAACTATGACCTACCTCGCCGTTTAACTTCCACCGTGAGACCGTCCCAAAGCAACTATTTCCAGCAATCCATCCATAAATCATTCAATCAAGTGAAACAACAGAAGCAATAAAAACCAAGCAACAAGCTCCAAGAGGCGCAATTAATCATTAAAGCCCAAGGTCCGACAACAATCGGGCAAACGCCAATGACACCTATGCTCTAGGTCTCCCTTTGTAGCCCCGAAAAATTTAAATGAAAATAAAAAGCACGCTAAAAATAGCTGTTCTGTTCGAGCATCGGCGCAGGCGGATCTGGTCGCGTTCAGATCAGTCTGCGGCCACCTATCCCTGCTCGTTGTTCATCCTAGTTGACCTCGGGTAGGAGTCTCTAATCCATGATTCCGCTACGAGCGATCGTCCATCGGCACAATCAACCCGACATGGCGGCGGTCTGCGGCATCGATTCTCAAACGATGAAGGACGAGCCCCCGGGGGGTCGTCGACAACTGCGACACAGTTTCGCAGTGTTTCGCAGCAGAGAAACCGAACTGTTATCCCAAAAAGTAAAAGCGTTAATCATCAGCCGAACAATCATCCTCTATCGTAAATCAAAATAATTTCGTTCAATAGGTAACAAAGAGATCGATGAATCATTCGCGTAGGAGCCAACGCGTTACAATTGCTTGAGAACCGGTGGGTCCTGGCGTTTGCACGCACGTCGAACGTTTTCCCGGATGGCCCCACGGAAACCGGACACAATGGAGCTACTTCCGGCGAGCACAAGGCCAGAAATCGGACGTGGGGATACCACCGCGCCTGTGTACCACCGGTGCGCGTTATCTCTCCACTGTGTTCTGCCCCCTACGGCTTGTCTATACGAATCATTCATCGAAACGATTCTTCCATCACCGGTCCCCCCTCCTCCGTAGCCATCACGGTTCGTCGTTCAGGTGTTATCCATTATTTCCACCGGTTCGCGCCGATTTTGACCGTCAGTTTGATTACAGGTGCCATTCGCGTTGGACGGACGGTTCCGAGATTTATGGTAGGCCAGGTTTTTCGTACTGCTGATTCCGGTACCAAGGGCTCGGAGTTAGTAACGCGAGCCTTCGATTGGCGATCGAGGACTTAGGATCCGGAAGTGGAAGGTTGCCGCGACGTGCGCGTAAGTAGAGGAATTATGTTTTAACTGCGAGAGTAAGGAAGCGAGATTCTATTGTAGCTTTAATGCTTTCACGACCTGGAACATTACATGAGTGGCTTTCGGGTGAGACGTGTCCAATAGGAATTTGTTTTCGACGTTTCGCCATCATTACTGGTTTCGTCAGGGGCTAAAGACACTGATACAGTATCAGAAGCCAGCTACAATGGCGAAACGTTGGTCACTGACCAATGGCCACTTATGAATGTGAGATTCTATTTGATACTTTGTTCGCGTGAATGTATCAGCTTTTTGGGAGTTGTCGATTGATTAGGGGATTGGTAATGTTTGTGTTCTGAATTTTTATGGGATTCGTTTGCGGAAGTATCTGGGGAAGATTGTTTTAAGAGTAGAAGAGTTCATTGGATAAAGAATGAAGTAGGATATGTTACTTTTACTAGTAGGTTAATATTATTGATACTAGAAGTAGATAGTATTTTGTAGCTATTTATGAATCATATTGAAAGATTGAATGAACATTTTCTTCGAGAATACATGCAACACGTGAGGATACGTGTCTGTTTTAATGGAACCTGCGGTTTTATGCTGCTGTGTTTTTATCTAGTAAAATGGTGGGAAAATGCTTTATCTTGAAACAATATCGTTACCATGTTAAGGTAATAACGGCGCAAATAATAAATGCACATAGCGAAATAACTCGTATCCTCAGGAACAATTGGAAAACACGTTGACGTAAACAGTTTCCAATTAAACGCTTCCTGCAAATAACACGTAGCGAATCGAGATAAAATTCTACAATTTCCGGAGCGACTTGGAACCGAGAGGCTCGTGTCCCCAGTGGTCCCGTGCCCGTCACACTTTCAGATTTATTGAAATTACTTCCCGAGAAACCGTTTGGGCGAGTAATTATGACCTGTCATTGCGCGGGAGCGTCATATTCGCGTTAATATCGGGCAACAATCAAAGAATCCCGAGGCGGTTCGAGGCACGCAACAATGTTATCCATCTATCATCTGGAATTCAAATTGCAACCGAACACGGTAATGGCTTTGTTATGTACTACATAACGAGGCGAGGTCTAGAAAACGAAAACTGAACTTCCATAACGTAACAACGTATTTTTTAAATATATAAACAACGTCAGAGGGCGGTTACGCAAAAGTTTTCGTTTCGACAAAAAAAAGTACCGACGCGTCCATTTATTTATTTGAAACGAATACGACAGCCGGAATGTATAAAAATGTTTCATCTCGAAAAAGGAGAGGAATCTGTGAAATTCGTTTAATAGCATTTCGGCGATGCTTTCCCCCTCCAATAATTAAATTGACCACTTAGTTAGCGGAACGTTGAAGCGCACTTTATAATTGGAACCGCAGAATCGGCGCAATTATGTAAATTGAATAACGTGCAATTATTATATCATTCGAACGTAATATTATATGTTAAGTATGCACAAACGCGCGGACCTGTAATTTCCCCTCATCGACCGTAACATTAATCACTGAATAAGCATTCATTCTGGACAGACAAGAGCAATTACCGAGGCGATAAACCATAACGTAATTAATAAGCGGCATTTCTATACGATGTAACATTGAATGTCGTTAATGACGAAGCACGCGCGCAACAATTGAGAATTCGCTCCAATCGGGGCGCGTATATTTTTTTTACCTGTTTCACGGTCCACTTAAAATTGGAATATTGATTTACTCTATTGCTAGAGACTGCCGTTGAAATTTTTCTTGCGGATAGCATCGAACGTTAGTTTGAATTAAACATAATTATTCTTACTATTCCATTCTAATCAAATCAATTAATTACTATCGATCGAACCTGCTGAAGTAGGAAAGTGATCTAAATGGAATTCAACAATAAATGATTAACATCCACCGATCAATCCTCTAACATCAATGAATAATATTCTAATAAATCAAAGCAAACCAATGTAACAAAACCTGTCGATACCCAAATCCATTTCAAACTCCCCAATTCAAACAATACAATAATCATTAGCGTACATGCCGAATTTTAAATCGACAACGTTCCAACGGTGTTAATGAATTATTACCCATCAATAATTACAATTCCATTGTGAGAGTGATTTAAAGAACACGTCTTCGCAATGAAATTCATCAGTGGCCACTCAGTATTCCTCGATTTCTTGCACTAATCCCGTTCCCATTCGGCAAGTCAAATAAAAATCTCTGTTGCGCCGCGATTTTAATAATGCAGAGATGACAAAAGCGCGATCAAACTACAGTCCCGGGAGTTTCCCGTTGAAAGAACGGTTTTTCATAAAGCCGGCTATTTCTAATTATCCTGAAGGGGATCCTCCTTCGTCGCTTTCGGATATTGCCGGCGCGAGGAAATGGTAACGAAGAGATTTTGTCGGCGCGAGCCTCTCGCATCTGCTTTATGAAAAAGCAACTTTGAAGTTCAGACGGGAGGATTGGGGGCATTCGAAGTGCGCCGTGACACACAGCGCAAGGTTTTACGGAATTCCTGAGCCGCGCTCACCCTGAACGCGTCCACACTCTCGCACCCCCGTGAACCTTTTCTACGACGCGAGCATCGCACACGCACCAACACGTGGGCCTCGGGACCAGCGCACGCCCGTAAACCCAACGAACCGTGCTTCCAACTTTCGAGCATTACATTATTGGTTAGCCATTACCTTCGCGGTTATCATTACTAATAGTTAACACGGATGCCGAACGATTTTATACAGTGAAATACATGGAATGGAGAAAATAGAATATTAACCCTTTGCATTCGAGAGGTTATTTTCACTCACCACTTGATTTCATAGAGTAAAACTATAAAATTTGATATTTAATATTGTACTTTGTATAATATTATACTTCGCGGTTATTATCGCTAATAGTTAACACGAATGCCGAACGATTTTATAGAGTAAAATACATAGAATGAAGAAAATATAATACTAACCCTTTATACTTGGAAGTTTCTCACTAGAAATATTTAACCCTTTTCACTCGAGAGGTGACTTTCACTCGCCACTTGATTTCATACAGTGAAACTATAAAATTTGATATTTAATATTATACTTCGTACAATGCACCATTTTGGAAATATTGAAATAAGATAGCTTTTTTCCTCAATGTATGTGTGATTTCTCGTCGAGTTAGTTTCACAAAATATCAAAATATCTCATCAGAAAATGTTCAAATGTTTCTAGTGAAACACTTCCGAGTGCAAAGGGTTAATATGTTTTGTCGAAGCGTAGATGATATTCTTTGAAATGACAAGTATATCGAGGAACAAAGCTGTTTTATTCGAATATTTCACATAACAAGGCATTGTACAAAGTTCAACATTAAATATCAGATTTTATAGTTTTACTGCGTCAAATCGAATGGTATCAAAATCAACAATTATCGATCACAATCCTGAAAGAAATCATAAAGCGAGGGGTTAATTTTTGATACAAGTAGAGTGAGAAGTGTCTTCACCTTTGATTTCAGAGTACCGTCGATATTGGAATGCCCAGTTAATAGCAAGAAATGAAAATGAAGAAGTTCGGTAACATATCGGATATACTGCAGACTATCTCTGTGCTTGCTACTTTGAAGGTAGTCGTGAACGGTAAGTTCGTCTTTCCATTTCCACATTTACTTACTCCGCGAAACCCGATACATTAGACGCCACAATTTCATCCCGAATTCTCTATTGAAAAACGTAACCGATGCCAACGCTAATTTTACACTAAGGAAGCTTTAACCTCGTTCGGCTTCATTGTTTTCTACCATAAAAAAAAATGCAATGAGCGTGAAAATATACGCGTGACGGCGTTTACATACGCATATCCCTTTGACAACGTGCAAGGGTGAGCAAAGTTACGCGGCACAGTCGCGAGAAAACGCGACGAATTTCGCATTATCAAAAATCCCTGGAGGGCTGGTGATTAACTTAATAACTGGCGCTTTCAATTTGCCAGCCGCGAGATCTGTGGTCTAAAAGAAATCTCTTTTGTCGCGGGGGACTCGCAAATGATCGCGGCAACGCGTGCCGCGAACGCGCTAATTAATGACGGGCCGCACAAAACGAGTGATGTCACTCGCGCGCTTGCGAAATTACGTTTCATTCCCATTGTACCGTGTCTGTGCCACTTGTAGCACGAAAATGTCGCGACGATAAAATCGCGGTGGCACTAACGCCGCGTCCCCAAAAGGACATAACCTGATTCTTTCCCGGCGCGGGCATAGCGGGAGGGGGAAAGAGGAAATAATAATCTGTTCGCCAGAGAATAACAGAAAAACGAGAAGAAAATCAAAATAGCCGTCTATTAAGCGCATTCCGAAGCAGCGCGATAACGAGAGAACTGTTTTCAGGGCAAACAACGTGTAATGGCGGCTTAGGTCGGGTCGTTTATGAGAGACTTCCGGACCAGCAGCTTCAGGGCTTTGACGACGACGTGGTAGGAAATGTTTCGCTAAACATACTGACGCCTGTCGTAATCGCGACACCATGAAAGCTTAAAGAAAACGAATTAATATCTTCGTCACACGTTTTGAGAGTGATGGTTTAGTCCATTCGCTGTTTGAGAAGTTGAGGACGTATTGACCTGAGTGTTAAATGAGTCGCTGGGAAACCAATGCAGCGAATGTCGGTATCAAAGTAGCTAACTGCATCGGTATTAAATGTTAACGATTGGATTCTTCGAATTATCGATCGTTCTTAGTATTCTGTACCTACCGATCGTTACTAAAATCTTCGTAACAATTATAATTTTCTAAATACACTTATCTTTTTCTGACATACAATCAAGTATGTTCATGTCGCAGGTATCAAATAATATAAAATTATTTGACACAAACGTTCTCCGTATTTAGATTTTATTTTAAAAATCGGCAAGAACTTATTCCAGTACCTAGTATTTAGTATTATCCACCTATTTACTTACTTACTTTTGTACAATTATTGTTCGTGAAAAGTAGCAATTAATCCAAACTTATAACACGAACTACGAAACAGCCCGCAGCTGGCAGCGAATGGGTTAAATAACAATTTGCCTTCAAACAAGAAAAATGAATTACCACCAGTGGTTCATTAGTTACATAATTAATGGAAAATGAAAACAATAATAAATATTCTAAACGAAGCTTTCCTGAATTCTTAGACTTTCACATAGAATATTTTCCTCTGACTGAAAATCAAGTTTAATTCTTGGTCGAACGCTTTTAACGATTATTCAAAGGCTTCGATTTGCTTTTCACGATCTAAAAATCAATTTCCTGGTGCTAAATCGCGAGTTGAAAGGATTTTAATCTGTTTTCGTGGTGTACTTCAATCTAAACTCGTTCGTGGGTACTTATCCTAGGTGCGAGACTCTGCGCCGCCATTCAGAGTCCTGGAGAAATGTCAGGAGCTTTGTCTGCGCGATAGAACAGCGACCAACAATTTAGTACGAATTTGCACAAGCTTCGACTTCCAACCAGGTAGCAGAATAGCATCATTCAGCGGCGCCGCCGAGTACGAGGAAAGCACATGCTATTTGACTAGAGAACAGGCGCAACCGGAAGGGATTGGTAACCTGATGCTGGTGCCGAATAGCGTGCATTTCACGGAAGTTTGTCTTGGCTGTGAGTTCCTCCCTAATTCGAAGACAACGTTTGTCCAAGAATTTTTCAAAAATCTCGACATTCCACTAATATTAAAATCGTTTAAGAACAACATTTACGATGTTTGTTGGATAATATCTTTCGTAAAGATTCAGATATTCGTATTCCACCGTGTCAGAGTAGACAATTGTCAGAGTAATTTCTATTTGTGAAGCTGACAGGATAGAAAGGGAATGTCCCAATAGACGCTACGTGTTCGAGAGACACCCGAGAAAGAAACTGAAGCTGCCACTGACGGACATAAAGGAAGTCAGTGCTGCGAATAGGACAGATTGCGAGGACAGGTAACTTCTGGTTGTTAATGCAATAATTCTTTTAACGGTTAACTCTTTGCGGACGAATGTCGACATTTCGGCGAGATCAGATTTTCATATTTGGAACCGCAAGCTTTGGAACAGCAAAGGACCAGTACGTAGTTTCCTTATTTTTATTATTTATAAGATCGATATATGATTTAGATTCATCTTCTAAAGTTTGTATACTTCAAAGAATCTTCATCCGTAAAGGGTTAACGCAACGATTTTTAACGTAACGAAGATACACATAGGTTGTACATTTAAACCTAATTACGGAATATTAACACATTGACTACCATGAGGGTCACCGGTGACTCCAACCAAATCAAATTACTAGTTCACTCAATTAAATCGTAAGATCGTTTGAAAACATTTCTATCTTATAAATAACGCTGCCTAATGCGATGAGATTTGTCTGGATGAATGTGTAATGATAATAATTCAATCGAATCAAATGATTTAATATTGTATTCTTTCCATTTTGTGCATTTCGCTCTATGAAATCGTACAGCATTCAATGTGTTAATCAGAGAATAGTACTGACAATGATATTCTAGTAATAATTTAGTGAAATTGTGGATAAACTGCAAACCCTTGCGTAAAATTGAGTGAAATGTAAGTAACAATCCGCGAACTATTGTTTTCCATTGTCATGGAAGATGCCTCAACGAGTTCAGCTTCATTTGCCGATCCGCGACGTACGACACAGCGCTAAGAAGCTGCGCCCTTAGTCGTTTCACAAGAAGAACTCATCCGGAATTATTGGAAGACGATCCTAACTCTGATTATCTGGAAAATACATGTCTGAACGGTACATATCTTCAGTTCCCCGTGTTTCCAACGGTCCGGGATGGAAGTTTTATTATGATTGACTCCGTTATTCTTCAGCGGAACGTCGTTGCGACGGTTTGGCCGTCTTCGTGAAAGAGGAGAACAAACGTCTTCGAGGACCCTTCGAAGTCGACATCTACACGAACCTGACGCTGGACGAATGTCAAGCCCTTTGCTTAAGAGCCGAGAAATATTTCTGTCGCAGCGTGGAATTCGACGAGCAGACGCGACAGTGTGTCATCTCCGAAGAGGATTCCGTCTCGCAGAAGGACGACATCGGGATCAGCAGCAGCCCCAGCCATCATTTCTACGATCTTGTTTGTTTGGACAATCGTAAGTATAATTTTAATAACTGTTTTCTACTGTACTTCAATTTGCGAAACGTTTTTTACGTACACTTATTGAACGCGTGTAACGTTACATTAACTTTCCGCGTTATTGTTGAATCAGCTGAAATAATAGGAATTGGACTCGTTTCTAAAAAAGTGACGGTGTTATTTATCAGATTTTAAATATATTTGAAATGGAACTGTTTCTTCGACAGTTCTACGCGACTTGAAAGAAACAATTTTAAGAATATCCCGTTGAAGAATACTTTACATTTCGAATCATTTTTTTAATGATTAAAGGTGCAAGTACAAATATTTAACACTAGAACTACTGTGCCAGTTAAAATGATCGGTTATTAATATCTTAAAAGCATTGAATATTCGAAATGATCTTGAAAACAGATACTTTCAATTCGATACTATAACGAATGTCCGAAGAAACCGAAAATAATCTATTGTTACATCTTTTGTAGAGACTACATGCTAATCGTATTAAATGCTCGATAATTCTAGTATTAAAACCCGAAAATAATCTATTGTTACATTTTCATAGGGATTACATATGAATCGTATGAAACGCTCGGAAGTTCTAGCGTTAAACACCGAAGACAAAAATTCAATGCAAACTAAACTAAAAATTAAAAAGGTTTAAAACTGTCAAAATTAAAAATCCAGGGAGATAGTGAAATTTTACAGCTTCCGGTCGCAACAGTCGTTTAATGAAGGATCAAAGATCAATTAACGCTTCGCAACGCTTTATCAGTACCCACTTACGAAGCGTAGATCCGTCCATAGCACGTGGCTCCGAGTATCCGGACAGCAGCTCGTCGTCGCATCTGTTCTCTGACGGCCGACGTCCTGACACTGCTTTCCAAAGATACCGGAACTCCCGGCTGAGCGGAGAGTTTCACTCGGAAATAACCGGGCGTAGTTTAAGCGAGTGTCTGGACGAGTGTCTTCGACAGACGAGCTTCCAATGTCGGAGCGCGGTTTACTCGGAACACTACCACACCTGTCGTCTGAGTCGATTCAATCAGCGCGACGGACACAGGATCATCTACGACGCTGACTATGACTATTACGAGAATCTTATGCGTGAGTTACGGGTTTAAAAAGATTCTTTGGAAATTGAAGCGTGATTAGTTTCGTTTGAAAATCGTTAAATCGATGTATTTAGGTGTGAATAACACCACTTTTCTTAGTTGGTCCAATGCCGCTTTAATGGCAGCAGGAATAATTTTATTATTTTTGTCACTATTACTCTTATTAGGTGTGAGTTTTGGGCTTAAAACGGTTCTTGGGAAATTGAAGCGTGATTAGTTTCGTTCGAAAATCGTTTAATCGATGCATTTGCATATGTATTTAATCTTTAACGGAGAAACGTTGCCATATAAACGGCATGGTAATTTTATTTACTGGATCCAATGCCGCTTTAATGGCGGCAGGAATCATTCCACTATTATTATCATTGTTATTCTTTTAATATTTACAATTAATATTGAAATACTTCCGGTCCGTTAAGGGTTAATAATATACATAAATAATAATATAAACAACAAACATTGGAATTCCATGGATAGATCAATATTTGGACGGCGACCGAGACAGTCCATCCTACCGACCAGACACTCTGGGCCAGGATTCAAACTTCGGCCGACCGTCTTTAGGAAGACCTGGTTAGACACAACCTCAATACCGATTTCGCTTAACTTCGATATATAGAGCATATCCTGGAACATTACCGCGCATCATAATAATCTCATTTACTCAAACGTTCTCTCCAGGATATCCAGACGACTACGACAAAGGATACAGCAGCAGCGTGAAGCCAGATCGATTCCCAGATCGCCATCCGGATCGTTTCCCTGATCGTTATCCAGACCGCTACCCTGATCGTTACCCTGACAGATACCCTGATCGATACCCAGACAAATATCCTGATCGTTATCCTGACAAATATCCAGATCGTTATCCTGAAAAATATCCAGACCGTTATCCTGAGAAATATCCGGATCGTTATCCTGAGAAATACCCAGACAGGTATCCAGAGAAGTACCCAGATCGTTATCCAAGCGACAGGTATCCAGACAGATATCCAATGAGTGGTCAATATCCAATCGGAGTAGATGGTGAAACGTATCCTGAGTCTATCGATCGATACCCTGTGAACGATCGTTATCCGAGCGGAGATCGTTATCATACAGTAAACCGTTACCCTGCCAATGATCGTTATCCAATCGTCGATCGTGACCGATATCCATCCTCGGACAGGTACCCAATTTCCGATCGATTTCCGATTAGAGGCAGTGATCGTCGTCCTGTTCCTGTTGATCGATACCCTATTCCTGACCCAACGATAGACAGATATCCGACGAGTAATCGATATCCGACCGGCGTCGGTAACCGATACCCGATATCCCCGGGTCGTTATCCAAATGATAATGATCGTTATCCTAACACTATCGATCGTTACCCGATTCCTGAGGATCCCTTAGATCGCTACCCCACTGCGATAGGCGGAGGCAGGCCTCACGTTGATCGATATCCTATTAGCGAGAGATATCCGGACAAGGACCTTTATCCCAGCCGGTAAGCTACGGGCCGTGGCATTGTTCCCTTTTTTTCGGGATCAGATTATGTCGAGCCCATTGTTCAACTCGGGGGGATGAGGCGGAAGTAATTAGATTTTCGAGATTTCCGGATTTGTTGTTTCATAATTAACTGGAAAATCGGAGATACACCGGTTTATTTGTGGCCGCGCGTAATGAATCATTGACTGTTCGGGTTATTCCGAAATGGATAATGTGCGTTTGTCAGGGAAAGATTTGTGTGTCTATTTAACCTCTTGCCGTACAATGACGAGTGATGAAGATGTTGAGATTAGTTTAATACACATCAATGTTATTCAATGCGCATGGATCAAAGCGAAAAACTATTTTGCTGTTACTAATATATTAGTTTGAAATTAGATTTATACTTAAACTGCAGTGGAAAATTTCTTTGCGTTTCTTCTAAACTATTGATAGAAATATTAGAAACAAAAGTAAATAATACGGCAAGGGGTTAAAGACAATATTTATATGTTTCACGGTATGATAATGTCACAAATGTTTTGGTTCTTTATTACTGTAATTGGTGTTCTTGAAGTATATTGATCAAGATATCAGTTGAAGAAATAAATCAATAAATTCTTTAATTGATATCATTTAAGGATTCCTTGTTACAAATCTTCAGCTTCCAAAAAATTAGCAGTAACTAAAGTATCAGCATCATGATTAGAATGTTATGAAATAGAACGTAATCTTTCTGTCAGGTTTCCTCCGCCCTCCCACCCAGCTGGTTACCCGGCAAGCTACCCTGATGACATCTACAACCCCCAACCACACCCCGATCGGACGCATTATGGTGCCGGTGGACCAAGCAGACCTTTAGGATACGGCGGATACAGCAACGACGGCGCCATAATCGGCGGTGGTTATATAGGCGAGGGTGGCGTTTATAATTCGAGACCATTCGGAACAAGCGGAGGTCCCATCATCGGTCGACCGCCGTTGGTCTCGAGATGCGACGAACAAGACAACTTCCGGCAGGTAGCGATGGGCATTTGAATCTCAATTTAGAAGCAAGCAGATGGGTTCGAGACTGTCAATATTCGAATCACTTCGAATTGGATTCGATACCTCCCAACTTTAGAATGGCTTAAAAGTCTTGAATGTGTTGAAAGCCTTGAAAGTCTTAAAAAACCTTGAAAGCCTTGAAAGTCTCGAAAGTCTTTATAGTCTCAACACTCTTAAAATTCTCGAAACTCTCCAAACCCTTAAAACCATTGAAGTGTCGAAAGTCTCCGAAGCGATTCAAATGTTTCACCACCATGTCCTATCCCGAACGATTCGAAGTCACCATAATCCATCACTACCGTCAGGTCGGGCCGCACACCAGAGTCCGGAAGCCGTTCGTCAGACGGTATACGACCGCTTCCTCTTTGGCCCAGTGCGAAAGGGAGTGTGCGGACGCCAGGGACTTCGTGTGCAGGTCCTTCAACTACAGACCTTACGCAGCCCCCTATGGCGCCGAAAGGGACAACTGCGAGCTAAGCGACCGGGACTCCAGGGACATGGACATGGGCAATCCGGTGTATTACGACACCGGGTCCGACTATGACTTCTACGAGAGGAACAACGGCAGACAGGGCGTCGACGCGGAGTGTCTCGACGGTAAGCGTCGTGGCAGCCGATCTAGGACACCTGCCACGTGGACTTTGCGGGGAGATTTTCGCCGCGGAACGTGGAAATGATTGATACAGAGATCATTCTTCAAATATTGTACAGACATTGTCGAACTAGCTTGGAGAAATAAACCGTCTGTTTTTTCCACGTTACACACACTTTTTTCTTACTCAATGAATAATCACTGTGGTCTATTCTTTGGAAAGAATGGCAAGACGTATCGATGGTCGCCTTAAATGTCCATCCTGCCACGCTCTTGATTATGTTCGAGTATTTCGAGTGGGATGGATATCGCGACTGTCGGTGTGTCTTGATCTTTCGAAGAACGGACTGTAAGCATCCGATGGTTCTGATTCGGAATTATTCGATACAAAGCGTGGAAAAGAGGAATTGAAAGTTTAATGCATAATATACGACTGAGTTGTTTGTTGAGTTGCTTCATGAATAGATCGTGAATTATATTGTTGTTACAAAAGTATTTCATCCTTTCCAAGCTTTTGAACATTATTTGAAGTGAACACATCTATAAACAGTCGTTATTAATCTATTTTATAGAACAGAATTCTCGAATTTCGTTCGCTGAACTCTACAAGTAAAACGCTGAAAAAATATTCCCCACGCGGGATTTCTACTCTTGAATTCTTTTGGTGTACACTGGGTAACGTGTACACGTAATCCCGCATCCATAAATTAAAACGAACCCCGCGTCGCGTGATGCCGAACACGTTAAAGTGATTATTGAAGTTAGAACCGTGGACGTGAAGTTCGACGGTGATTCCGTGCGAAGTTATAATTGGTGGGATAATAGTAAATTCTATATCTGATCGTTTTAGTGAGTCAAGTCTGTAGCGAGGACGGGATGGAATTTACTTTAAGGACGCCGGAAGGATTCATCGGTCGGATTTACACTTACGGATATTATGATCGGTGCTTCTTCCGTGGGAACGGCGGCACTGTGAACGTGCTGCGAATCAGCGGCCCCCAGGGTTATCCCGAATGCGGCACTCAAAGAGTAAGGAATCTTCTCACCTTAATATTCTCTGATACGTATTAGATTCGCGCACATGGAACTGCCGAGAGATTTCGAATGCAAACATTTTGTTGCTCTCAAACTGTTCCGTCTTCCTAGCTTTCTAATCGTATCTACTCATCATCATTCATTATAGTTATATCAGATGATAGTATCATAGTTTCTAATCTCTACATAAATAAGTAAAATCATTGGAAATAGAAATGGAACAGTGTAGAACGAAATTTCCATAGAAAATAGTGTTTGAATTTTTACAATTTTTGCAACAACAGTGTTCTAATTTACCGCGTAAAAAAGAGGCTCGCCTGAAAGAAGTCCGCGTGAATCGAGGGTCAGGTGTACATGTAATACTATAAATAGTGCTGTAGTAGAGTCTACAGAGTGCAAGGGGTTAAAATATAATGAAAATCAACGAACAAAGGAGCTCCTTTTTTTCGTTGCGATTCTATATGCGCTCTGGATCGGCAGTTCTATGCGCGCAGGCGGTATCTGCGGGCAACAGTGTGCACAGAGGAAGATTAATGATATAAATAACCGGATGCAGCGAACTCAAGCGAAAATCTCTGCAAATTGGAATTGCATTGGGTGAATTATTACAGTACGGGGACACAATGACAAACATCGTCGTGGTACAATTCTCGGACTACGTACAAACCGGAAGGGACAAACGGTTCAACCTTACCTGCCTGTTTCGAGGCCCTGGCGAAGCTGTCGTCACATCCGGCTACATCGGTGCCGGGTATGCCAGGTCATATCGATTGAGAAACCGTGCCTTGCACCTGGTGCACTCGCCGTGTATACAATTAACCGTGGAATGCAGGCTGTCTTGCATTCGTTCGCTTACAACCCCGGTGCAAAGCCCACTCGATTGTTTCAGCGTTGTATACGCTTCATCAAAATCACATTGCTTCTGAGATTCCATTGTTCTACTCGCTAAAACCTAATGTCTGTTACATTAAAACGTTGGTTAACACTGCCACACTGGCCACCGATGATTGGTGCTCCCAAATTGCTGAAAAGAAATTACAATAAAAAACTTAGTTTTAAATAAAAATATTAAGTAAGAAAATATTAAAGTAACTTATGTTACTAAAAATATATAGTATAACAAGTAGCTAGATCATAGCGTAATATGACTACTGTAATACTGAATTAATCATTATTTTCAATATCATTTGTCTTTGTTATTGAAGAATATGTATTACTATTCGAAACGCTAGCAATTCTCGTGGCAGTCAACGTGTTAACGTTATTCAAAGCTCTTTTCCTAAAATTCGAATGGAACATTGGATTTGCTTCAAGATTCTTGTTACACCTTCCTGCGGTTGCTATTGGAAGATTGAAGATTAACACGTTGAATACTGTGGGGATCATCGGTGAGCCCCAACCAAATTACTATGATTCACTCAATTAAACGATGATTATTTGAACTCTTCTATATTAGAAATAATGCAACCTAAGGCGACGTTTAGCAAAATAGCCATGCTGTTGATATATTTTTTTCTGCTTCGTGTACTTTGCTCCGTAAAATCGTTCGGCATTGAACGTATTAAGGAAGAAAGAGGATGATCCGAGCTTCCCTAATGATGGTTCCGTTTCTGTTGTTTAGATCAGGGTCCCCGATTCCCATCGAATATCTACCAGCAGAAAACACGCTGAGTTCTCGAGTGAGATTACTGATTCTCTACCAAGGCAGACCTACGACTACCATTGCTGTAGGCGACCCGCTTACTTTCAGGCTTGAAGCTCAAGACGGGTACAGGAGCCTCTGTTTTTCTTTGATACCGATCAGTCGTCGATTTTAAACGTTCGAGTACCAGAGGTTTTTAAAAAAACACGGTCGAAAAAAGCCGAACAGCGCAATAGCGCTTTCTGAATGGGATGCGAAAAGATCCAAGTGGCGCGACAGCGCTCCTTTTATTTCATGTCGAGAAAAGTCAAGCAGCGCGAAAGCGCTTGTCTTAATCTATGTTAATACTATTGTATACGTACATTAATTTATAATAGGTAACAACAAAATATAAAATGTATTACTTGGATTATTTGTATGCAAGAAAGGTAGCGATGCAACGTACATGCGTCTGAAAAATTAAGCGCGTTTCGTCAGTTTTTTCCACATGAAATCTGAAGAGCGCGAAAGCGGCGCGTGGGACTCAAACGATTAAATTGATCGAAGTGAACCGTTGCGATCGGTTATGTTATCGTTTACTTCTAGCTGAATGCTAAATGAAATTCCAGAGTTGTTGGAATGTTCAGTGTTATTGTACGTTAAATGGCACTTCGTTCGTTCATCGGTGATGAGAATAGCGTCGTTTTGCTTTCAGATATAATTACGTTACCGACATCTTCGCCACCAATGTCATCGCAAGAGATCCTTATTCCGGAAGGAGCGTTCAGCTGATCGACAGATACGGGTGAATATTTGATGGCAGATGTTTTTTAACGATCGACTAGCCTCAATTAATTCGAGCTTTCCGTGCTCGATCCTTCGAAGTGAGAAAGAACGTAGATTGATCTACTAACAAACTAGAAACGCGGGGATAATGGAGTTTCGTGATGCACGCTGCGGGGTGCAGCTCGAATAAACGTTTACCGGGGGTCAGGGCGAAGCCTTCCAACGGAATCGGGGTGAAGTTTCGTTGGAAGCCAACATATTTCCGTTCTCAACGAGAAAAAATGAGATAAAGAAACTTTCCGATTGAAAAGGGAAATTAGTATTCTAGTATAATGAAAATAATCGTGTTCGTACAGTAGTCAAATATTAGCGAAAGAATCTGGAATTTTCTTAATGAATATTCTGTCGTTTATTAAGCCTTGTCTTGTAATTACGTGTTAGACTTATGGAGATTTTAAACGGAATTTAATAAGCATAAATCAGATAAAATATTTTTCTTCTATCAATTGTAATGAACCCTTTGAACTCTGTAGGCTCCAATGTTGCACCAGTTATGATACTAAATATTTTAATGAATCTTAAAGAAACTACTCTAAAATTATTAGATTTTCCACAGATCCAAATTTTGTACTAAGAAGGAAAATAAATGATCGAAGAAATGTTATAGTATTTCTCATTTTCGCTAGGAATACTATAAAAATCAGTTGCAGTTGCTGATAGATTACAAAACAATCTGAAGTGCTAAGGGTTAATATAATTCATCCATTATACTTTATAATATAACTATCAATTATAATATTACAATCTAATCAATCAATTATAATTCATAATATAATTTATTGGTTATAATATTATAATATGATTAATCAATTATAATTCATAACATAATTTATTAATTATAGTATTACTAATTGTTACGTAATGTGATTCATCAATTATCGTTTATAATATAATTATCGATGATAACACTATAATTGATAATTATACTAGAAAGCAAACATAAACGCAGAATATGTCCAGAATTTTTCTCCTGTTCGCAATACATTACTAATAACAAAGCAAGGAGTTAATCTACGTATGTACTTATGTATAACGGATTTGCTCACTTTTTTAACGTTCTATGTATTTGTTGCAGTTGCCCGGTAGACAATTACGTGTTCCCAGGATTGGACCGTCTGCGCGACGGAGATAGCCTCGAGGCTCGTTTCAACGCGTTCAAAATCCCCGAATCTAATTTCTTGGTGTTCGAGGCAACGGTGAGGACCTGTCGAGACGGTTGTCAGCCTGCCTACTGTTCCGGTGGTACCGGAAGGAGCGAGCCATCTTTCGGTAGGAGAAGAAGGGACGTGTCGCAGAACGACACAATAGCCGAGGAAAATGAAATAAGCACGATAATCGAGAGTACTGCGAACGACACGTCTGCCATTTCGAATTCCACCGTCGCTGACGACGACGACGACGACGACAAAGGGGAGGATGAAGAGGAGGAGGAACACGTGAGAGAAATGATCGAGGTGCATTTTGAAATTTGTTATTAATTAGACTTGAATATTCACAGAATTCTCTTGTACTTTGCACTCGAACGTACAGAAAAATTATGCTGCAATTAATTTCTTAATTATGAGATGCAACTACTTTATTTCAACGTTTCGTATGTTAATATTCGTCATTTTGTTGATGTAATATAGATTACATTTTCCACGAGTAACGTAAAGCAAATTTCTCAATTATGAGATGGAACTATTTTATTCCAGTATTATCAAATATTTCAAATTTAGTACCTTGTATCAAGTTTCGCAATTTTACTGAATTTGACAAGATAGGGATTGAAAGTCGCCTCTCGAGTGCGAAGAGTTAATTATTCAGAAGGATTAAATGAAACTTTTAGTCCGTTAATTTGATTCTGTAATAGGTGCTCGACTCGAGAATGGACATAGATGAGGAAACAATGGTGGAGAGGCAGACCACTGTCATGGAGAACGTTTGCATAACGCCGAACGAATATTACGGTCTAGTGACAGCAGTAGCAGTACTGGTAGTGCTTCTGGCTTCCGTAGTATTATTGTCTATGCTGATTTATAGGTCTGTACTATAAGTAACTCGCGAATATTCCATAAACTTTTGAAAATTGAGAATTACATTCTTCCAGAAAATACGTTTACGCGGTGATTACGAAGAACCGTAGAGTCGATAAAGCATGCAACCGTAGCAGTCATTCGGACGAGGCTTATAGTAGTCGAGCGAATAATTTCTCATTCCTGCGCAGTGGATTTCAGAAACCGTTTCAATCGACGTACGTATTTCTGTGTTAAACACATAACGAGTATTAACTGTTGTCTGGCAAACAAACATTGCTGGTAAAATAATATTTAACACATTGAATGCCGCACGATTTTAAGGTGTAGAATATGCGAAATGAAAAAAATACAATATAAAATTATTTAATTGAATCGCGTTATTATTATGGCGAGTGTGTCTTGCCGAATGTCATGATATGTTTTTTAATAATCATCGTTTAATTGAGGGAATTACAGTAATTTGATTTGGGCAGCGGTCACTGGTGACCCCCGAGGCATTCAACGTGTTAACACTGGACCTATTGGAAATTAAATGACCCATTCCTAAATTTTACTTTTCAAATGATTGAAAGGATAACAGATGCTTCTCTCAGAAATTTACTATAAAAATTTATTTCATAATAGGCAAACTGAATTATAAAGCAATCGAAATTCTAATAGATGAACCCTAATAATGAGTAATGACTGTTGTTTGGCTAAAAAACATTGCTGGTGAAATGATATTTAAAACTAGAGCTACTAGAAATCAGAATGACTCATTCCTAAATTCTACTTTTAAAACAATTAAAAAGATAACAAATGCTTCTCCGAGAAATTACTGAATTATAAAGTAATCAAAATTCTAATAAATCAACTCTTAGAGTTTCTATAGAAAAATGTAAAAAGGTTAACTTGACTGCTCAGTAGTTCTAGTGTTAAATGTTCGCTTAACGATAGGACTCTAAACATATATCTCGTCTATAGATCGATCTCCAGATCGATGAGCAACGTGATCAGCCAACGCGTGGTAAGCGGTTCGTCAACAGCGTTGGAAGGTGCTGTCGGACTGTCATCGAACAGAAGAACCGGCTTCGATCCCAGTGAACCGATTTACACTGATCCGTCGCTTTTCGAGGTCGCTCGTTGCTCATCCCCTAAACCAGCACTCAATGATAACTTCCATCTGATGTAGAAAAGTCTGATTGGTACTATACCATTTCGAAATCCGTCTGAATCAAAAGTGGTTTTCTAAAGATAGGTGTAAAATTCGAACAGTTCAATTGTTATTGTACATCTTCGGAATACGGCATTTGATCTCAACGATATTACTTTGTGATCATCCGCATGATGATTGACACCGAATTAACTTGACTTTAGAACCGATAAGCTTCATCGATCGCATTTCTTCAATGGCTCATCTCGTCTATCGTTTTCTCTTTCCTTTCTTCCCCTCCTTTGTTTAATAACGACGATTACAGTGCTAGTCAAATTCAATGACTGTCAGCTACAACTGCCATGTCAACTAAATGACAATCTCAATTCTTCCAACGTTCATGCCGATTCTACGTAGAAATCGTAAAAAGTATAATTACTTTCCGTGATCGTCGTAAGAACGTTCATATACAAGCACGAGCACTATGATCATGTATCTGTTACTTTACTGAAAAATAATCGTTTACAATCAAACATTTATCGCTATTCCTCGAAACCTCTGGCATACTACACGGTTAAGTTTCTACGATGAAAACGTTAGTGACTTCGAACGAACAAACCCTCTGTTTATCTTTAGAATCACTATTGAAAGAATCATTGAATAGTCAATGTTACGAACTCTTATTTATTAAGATTATGTTCCAATTGTAGCTAGAAAGAAATAAATAGATACAACAGAAGGTACGCATTACGCTCGTTTTATTCCCGACAGGAGATCGTTCGTTTTTACGCAGCGGATCGATAACGTTTTTACGGTGCTCTTTTATTCTATCAATTCCCTTTCATTCTGTCGAGCTTGTAAGTAAAAAGAAGCATCCTGAGTCTAGCCTCCTCTTTACGATAATGTGCCTCCTCCAGTTTAATTCGTGCCTCCTCTTTCAACATGGCGGCGATATCGACTTTTATCTGCGCCTCGGAGAGAGCTAACGCGTGTAACTCTTCGTCCTTGCGAACTGATTTCTTCGCTTTACGCGGTTGATCGTGAATAAATGACGGAGACATTAACGTTTGCGTCCCGTTCGACTTAAATATCAAATGACTTCTCTCCGGCATGTCCTCTTTGCCTAATCTTTCGGCGACGGGAGAGTCTAATTCTTTGGTCGATTTTTCGAAACAGTCAGTCAACGATCCGCTCGACAATTGGTTGGAATTCATTTTGTTGCAGACTGAATCTAAAATGATATTCAAATGTAACGTGTAAATATATAAAATTCAGTGCAATAAACTTGAAAGAGTTTGACGAAGCTTCGGTTATGTTTAGGAATCGACGCAGCCGTTGAAGAGTTTAAAAGTTTCGTATTGGTTTGTTCACATCAGTATTTGTGTTATTGTATTTATTTTAACCCTTTGCACTCGAGAAATTAAAATTGAATTGAATTGAACTGAATTGAATAAAATTGAATAACTCAATACATTGAGGGGCAAAGTTATTTTATTCCAATATTTTACGTATCAAGGGATTGTACAAAGTTCAATATTAAATATCAGATTTTTTAGTTTTACCATGTCAAATCGAGCGGTGAAAGTCGCCTTTCGAGTACAACGGGTTAACCCCTTACCCTACAATATCGTATCAGACTCGTGGTGAAGATTTCAAATAGAATTCAACAAATATAAGAACTGTTCAATTTGTTTGAATGCAAATTATATATTGTTCCTCTATTACCAATATTATACATTAACCCTAATCGTACCAAGTGTTTTTATAACGAATTATACCACAATGTGACTTTCAGTCACTTATGAGAATAAAAGGAATGATTAAAATTTTATTGTTTTTTTTATAGGGCCCAAATTTAAAAAATCCAAAACAACTTTCGGAAATGCAATTTGAGATAATCAAAAAATTTAAGTAAAAAGTTCAAATGTGACTCAAAGTCACGTCGTGGCCCGATTAGGGTTAAAGCATAGGTTGATATAGAATGAGACTGGAATTTTCTCTTATTTTCAATAAATTATTAATAACAAAGTGGTGAAATCGATCACAGTTCAGGAAGAAATCATAGGACAAGGGATTAATGAGACAAACTGAAATACAGAAAGTGAAAAGAATATTTTACCGGAATCTTTGCAGCCATTTTCATCTCTCGAGCTTTGTTGGGGTGGGTTCAAACTGCAAACGCTTTGCAAAGTGAACGGTTCCGATTCTTTCGGCTCAAATACGACATTCGGGGGCAATCCCACGGTTCCGGTTGGCAGTGGTAGTTCCGACAATGGAGTTCGACTCTCCCAGGGTTTTGAGCGTGAGTGATCCTTGGACAGTTGGCAGAAACTTTTGGAAATTGTTCTGGAAAATCTCGTAATTTATAAAGAAAATTCCATGTTTATTTATCTCTTGAAGTTTTAGTTTTATTCAGGTCATAATAAGTTAATACTAAAGAAATTAATCAATTTTAAGGGTCATATAGTGTACAATATAATCAAAAATAAAATAAGGAAAGCAAGTTTTCAAATTCATCATGATGAAAAGAGGATAAAATTTGCGAATTATTTTCAAAATTAGCTATCTTTTCTAAAATATGAATTGATTGATTTTCAACTTCAGTCTACGATGCTGAGGACACTAAAACCATCTAACGGTGAAAAGTGGAAATAAGGGCCATTCCTTAAAGTATGCAACCCACTTTGCTCCCTTGTACACCATCAGACGCTTATAATTTATCTACAGTTTCTTAAATAAATAGCATTGAAAATGTGTACATTTACTGAAAATATCTAAATATCCTTCCGTTAATGAATTTTTTAGTGTATCATTAATGTAATCGTTTATCTTATGGAATTCTGGTATATACTTTATACATTTACAATTATTTGTAGTTACATGAATATGGTAACTACTGGTAAATAAACTAAATAATTAAATAATAATATGATAAATTGACAGTAAACAATATTGTATTAATTCCTTCTAATTTATCTAAGAAGGATTATAATAGTATATTTAGTTCATCCTTCCGACCGTTAGATGGTTACACTATTCGTCATCCAGGTAATATATCCATAAAATATAAAAATTTTAATCACTTTGAATCGAAGAACCTTCAAAATTTCTTGAAGAAAAATTATTGCAATAATAAATTTAATTTAAAATCAATGTGTCACATCAAACACAACATTCAGCAGTTGAAATTTTATATATTCTTATAAAAACATTTATGTAAACGCTAAAAGTCATTAGAGAATTATTATATTTACCGTAACTTTTTCTCTTCGCGATTACGTTTGCAGGCTTTCATGTTTTCCCAACAGCGTCTTAATTGCACAGCTGAACGCACACCTTGGGGACCTACCATCAAATTATACTCGTCAGCAAGTTGGGACCAGGCGGACTTCCGTTTGCACATTGAAACAGGATCAGATTTTCTCTCTTCGATGTCCTCGTATTTGTTTATCAACGTTATCAATATTTCTCGTTCCTCAAAGCTGTACGTTTTCCGAGTACCCTTCAACGAGGAAGAAGCCATTTTAATAAAACCAAATGCTAGACTATCGGAACCGTCTTCTTTTGTTTATCTCGGCGTACAAACACAACTAATAAGTCTATTCTACAGGGTGTAACGCTTGAAAATCATATATTATACGATAACTATTACACACATAAATCAACGTAATGGACTAGAGAATATATAACATCATAAATTTACAGTTCTCTATCAATATTTATTAACCCCTTGCTTTATAATAACGTCTCAGACTCGTGAACATTTTAAACAGAGTTTAACATACATAAATATTACTGAATTCCTTTGAATTCAAATGACTTATTATTCTTCTGGTATCAATTATATTATGTAGCAAATATATGCATAGAATATGTCTAGAATTTTTCACCTTTTTTCAGTAGATTATTAATGACAATCTGTTATACCAATTACACTTGAGAAACATATCATAAGTAAATAATAATTAAATAAATCACATCAATATATTGACATGTTCATTTATTTCATGTTGCACAGCAAAGTGGTGAATAGTGATGATCAAACTTTGCTGTTTATAATAACGCAATGACAAAGTGTTACCCTTCTTATAGTTCATTCGGATGTTATTTATTATTTAATACATCAACTGAAATCGTATTATGTAAAGAGGATGAAGTATATATATTAATTACATAATTGAATTCCAAGGCTGATGGAAAAATGAGGAAGTGAAAATGAAGTGTAGTTCGTAGATCTTCCTAGTAGTTGGCGCCAGGAGGTAGCGATTTTAATGGCAGTGCGTTCAAAATACAACAAACATGCACAGGATATCGTGGTCCTACTGGAAACGGTGAATCAAGTGACAGTGTGGTGATCGCAGTAATTATTGTAAAATGAAACGGCATGTTTCATCTGATGCGATTCCTTAGCGGATTACTTCTACTTATTCTCGCGATACCGTTGGGCAATGGTGCAGATAACACGTACGAGATTGACTGCAGTAACCTACGAATGGGACAGTACATCTGTCCTCATCCCGATTATGATTTCATAGATCTGGACACGCAACAACCAAAGGGTTGTACCAAGGAAAATAAAGCCAAGGGTAAAACGACTATTTTTGTGAATTTGCTGTTTCCCTCAAAATCAAGGAATAGATTAACATAACCTGTACAACCTAAACACATCAAATTCCTGAAAATTGCTAATCCTATATTTTATTTCTTATATTTATTTACCAACAGAATCATTGTTTCGTTCGAATCGATTTTGAATTTGTAATATATCTTGTAGTACAGAACGTAACAAAATACTTATGTACGTGTTATGTTTTTTATCAGTGTTGTGTCTGGCTGCGGATGGCCTCATTTGTACAGAAACAAAAAATAACACGTTCAAGAAGGACATTCCTTGTAAATGGACGTAAGTATATACTATTGCATCGATGTTTGAGAAACATTAATGACCAATTGGCATGATTGAAGTTATTGTAGTACCTTGTTGTTTACCGTTTCCTTGTGACTATGAGAGACACTTTTATGTGAAACAGTATAATATTCTTTTTTGCAGAAATGGATATTCATTTGAAACATCATTGTTACTCTCTATATTTCTTGGCATGTTTGGAGCAGACAGATTTTACCTAGGGTACCCAGCACTGGGTCTACTTAAGCTGAGTACTTTAGGATTCCTCTTCCTTGGCCAATTTGCTGATGTTATACTTATAGCAACACAGGTTGTAGGACCTGCAGATGGTTCGCACTATGTGATGCCATATTATGGTGCAGGGATTCATATCATAACAAGTAATAACTTTACGTTCCGTGTGCCACAGTATGATTGCTGAAAGAGTTCTAACAGTTGATAAATGATGGTTATTAAAAAAGAAAAGAAAAGTTGTACAGTCCCTGCTTTTATCGCGAGCAACGATATGCAATCCTAGAATTGAGTCCTATTTCAAAATACCTGGAAACAAATTGCTGTGTATGCTATTTTAATGAGCAAACAAAACAAATCACCTTGTAGATATGTAATTCAACGAAACATTGTATATACAGATTTGTTACTGACTTATTATATCTATTGCCACTATAGTCGTATAATAAATATTTGTTTTTATTTCTAAGCTCTTCATTTCTACCTATTCCATTTTCCTATGAGTTTTTTTTATGTTATCTTGTATTCTTCATTAGCATGCATTATCGTAAAATCTGGATTGCCCTTGAAAGTATATTTTTTTTTTTACTAAATCATAGAACGTGCTTGCCGACTCATTTTGCCGCGTTTGATTACATACGCGTCTTAATTAAAATATCAACGCAAAAGCTTTGGCTCACTGATGAGAATACACTCTTCCATGAAATAATTAGTGGATTCGGTTGTTCGCATTCTTTCGTTGTTGAAAATCACACGAAATGACGTTAATCTGAACACTTGGATTTATCACGCGTAATTATTATCGAGCACGTCTTTGATATAAAAGTGCTTGAACGTGCGGTCACGAGAGTCATAAAACTTTGGTGAACAGCGAACAAGTGTGTATGCTGACCAGCAAGTCAGAACGAAACCTGATCAGTCTGCTTACGAATCAATTAACATAAACTGAGTATGAAGAATTATACTCCGCTTTTATCCATTTTGCAAATCATAACTATCAGTGTTAGTCAACCAGTACAGAGTCCATATGTAAGTATTAGCTTAATTTTTCTAACACATCACCAGCAACTTTCAAACTAAATAGTCTTTAATTATTTAAAGAAAATCGTTTATACTTTAAAATCTATATTTTTATAAATGAAAGTTTCCTTTCCTGCAGGATTCTGATGACAGCAGTATAGGCAATGTTCACAACCAGGAATATGAGAAAGTCTCTGTCCCATCAACTTGTAATAGTAACCAATACTTTGATGAAGAACAAGAGCATTGCTTAAATATAGCTGGAGGTGGTACATTACTTTATATAGATAAGGCAAAATCATGTGGTGTAAATGTGTTGAAGCCCCACTGCAGCAATCCCAAACATTATTATATTTGCAAAAATAATAAAGCAATATTGGCTCAATGTGGAGAAGATCAGCAATTTAGCTATGATTTACAAAAATGTATCTCCAATCACCAGGAGCAAGCCACTAAAGGAATTTATTCAGAAAGAAAAATATTTGATTCTATGAAACTGCCTACATGCGAAAAATCTGGATCATTTCTGGTACCGGAAGATTGTGCTTTATTTTACACTTGCGAAATTAAGGATGGTCGTTTGATCCAATTCATTTTCAAATGTCCAAATACTATGATCTACGATGCAGAAATGCAAATATGTAGCTTTTATGCCAAATGCAATAACACAAATTTAAACAGCTCTTCAGTGCCATGTGAATCTGACACAGAGAAAGGAAGAATTCTATCACGAAAAGAAAATGACTCCAGAAATATTAACATATTAAATGAAACTTCAACCACTGGTTACAGTTCAAACCCTCCGCAATTTACAAAAGAAGATACAACTGTAGCAACAAATAATTATGAGAGTATTGCTACTGATGAATCCAACAGTTTTGATACCTTAAATTCAACAGAAAATATTTTGGATACAACATATTCTTTAAGTACTATTGATCCTATTGCTTCTACAACTTCAGAAGAATTAAATTTGTCTTTTCAAACGGAAACTACTTATCCATCGTTTCAAACTTCTACTTCAGAAACAACTACTGAAGATTTCATAACAAGTACTTTATACTCTACAAGTAGTATAGATGAATCTGAAGCATTTACTTCATCTACAGAAACAACAAGTGCAGCACCATTGCAAACTTCTACTGAAATAGAGTTAAACTTAAATAACCAAACTGATGCAGTGATAACAAGTACTATGAATCCTACAAGTTATTCGCAAACTATTGATCCGTTTGCGACTTCGAACGATATGAGTATGACTACAGAAATTAATATAAATGAATCATTAATAAATTCTAGTACTAAACCAGAAACGTCAGATCAAATAAAAAAATTTACTGAACATTCAACTACCGAATTCAGTTCGACTGACTTTACTTCCACAATTTCGTCTATTAAGTTATCTGTGTCTCCTCAGTATAACGGAGAAACTACAACTTCCAACTTTTTTGCATTAGATGATTTGTTTGTTCATAAATTACCTACTACAACCACTGACCCAAGTATTTCTATCAGCACACATAAAGATTTACTACAAACTGATAGCATACTAACAAAAAGTATCGAAAGTAATAAATCAAAAGAAAATTCTACGTCTTCTGCGTTATTAGATGCAACAATACCTGATACCACGATCGTTGATAAAAGTGCATTCTCATCTAGTACTGATGCAGCGAATTATTTTACTACAGTGACTCCAAAAAATGTGACCTACGATGATGAGCTAATTGATACTCCTAGCGATATGAAGGAGATCTTGCAAAATTTCACATCAACCTTAAGTGCCGTGTCGTCATTGGAATCAATTTTAGCAACACTAAATAATAACAGTACACTAAACAATATAAACAAACAACCATGTGAAGAAATATTACGGTCTTTACTTGCAGATATAAAAAAGCGTGAATCATTTTTAAAAACTGAAACTGATGCAGAGAAACAAAATGTAACTGTATCCCAAAACGTAAATTCTAGAAGAAGAATATTATCACATATTGCATTACCTCTAGCGTCAGCTGTATTAAATATCACGGACAGATTCGAGCATCGTATAAGAAATATTCTGAGGGGAATTTCTACAGCTCGTACATAAATCCAAAATAGATATTTATTTATATAAATTTAAGTTTGAGTATTAAGTTAAAATATTTGTCAAAGTTATATATACATAAAACGATCATAGATGTAAGGATAAAAATTAATGTTATATTTATTTAAAAATATAATAAATATATGTCTATTTATTAGTTCAGTAGTCCAGTATTAATTCCCAAATTTTTGTTTAGATATAAATATTCTGTTGCTATACAATGAAAGTTATCTGATTTAAATACTGATAATACCGGTCATTGTACTATAGGTCAAAATTATACTAGAGTCATGTACTTTCTCTATCCTGTTCATTTACTAAATTGTAGTATATACCCGCCTTCTTTAATAATTCTGCATGAGTACCCATCTGTAAGTATACATTATAGTAATAAATATTTTATTGGAAATAATTAAGCAATCTCTTTGTTTATTATGTACCTCCACAATAACTCCTTTTTGTAATACGACTATAATATCAGCAGCTTTTACTGTACTCAACCTATGAGCAATTACTACAACTGTCCTTCCCTTTGTAGCATTTTCTAATGCTTTTTGAACAATTCTCTCACTTTCATAATCTAACGCACTAAAGAAAATTGCATAGAATTATGTAAAATCACAATGAGTTCAAACATAAAATAGAAGAAATAGTTTCTTACCTCGTAGCTTCATCTAATATTAGTATAGATGGCTGTTTCAGCAAAGCTCTAGCAATAGCAATTCGTTGTTTTTGTCCACCGGAGAGTTGCGCTCCTCTTTCACCCACCTGAGTTTCATACTTATTCGGAAATTTCATGATGAATTCATGAGCATTTGCTTCCTTTGCAGCTTCAACGACCTTAAATTCAAATAACCGAAATATTCGACAAGAAATTTTATATGAAACGTAACTTGTATAAATGTTAAAAACAATTTACTATTAAAAACAATTACATCTTCGTCTGTAGCATCTTGTTTTCCGTATCTTATATTTTCCATAACACTTGTAGCAAATAAAATCGGCTCTTGATCTATATACCCTAAAACGTTACCTCGCAGGTAACCAGCATTCAGCGATCTCAGGTCTTTACCATCAATTGTAATAGATCCCTCTTCGACATCATAGAATCTAAAAAAATATTATTTCATATTTAGTAAATAAAGTCTTTTGAAATTACTTTTTTTTTACATGTGAAATCTATAGATAACCTTTCTAGTAACGCGGCTATTGTTGATTTACCATTACCGCTAGAACCAACGATAGCTACTGTTTTCCCAGCAGGAATGTTTAAGTCAAAATTATTTAAAATGACATGTTCTGGTCTGGTGGGATAGCTAAATTTCACATTCTTAAAAATTATATTTCCAGCAAGAGATTGGTCTGTAATTATTTCCCCAGTTACCATCATTGGTGAAGGAGGCATGTCCAAATACTGATATAGTATAAAGCAGAGGGAAATAATTTGAAGCAATGTTAAGATATACTTGTTACTTTAGTATACTCAATATATTTTTATTTTATATGCATACCTCAAAAACTCTAGCACCAGCACTAATACCTCTGATATAGGTTCCAAATAATAATGATAATTGTGATAGAGACCTTTGTATTGTCTGAGTAGCCATTAAAAATGCCATTAAATCTCCTGGAGTCAGTTGACCAGTTGACATTAAATGACCACCAAAATACAAGGTGCAAAGTAAAATACCATTAAGGAAGAGATTTGATCCTCCTTGAAACAAACCAATTCCAAATCCTAATTTTTCAAATAATATAGTTCCCTGTTCAACCTCTTTTGAGAACATCTCTACTTCTTTATCCTCTGCTGCAAAAGCTTTCACCTGTTCGAAAGATTTAAAGAAGAATTAACAAGGATTCAACAAGAAAGGATACATAGTTTTACAGCAAAAATTTATTAATTTATTAATTAATATTATGTATTTATTTATTATATTATATAATGTAATACCGTTTTAATATTTTGTATAGCTTCTTCACAAACAGCTGTAGACTTAGAAGCCTGACTCTGAGCTTCTGCTGATAATTTTCGTAAATTTTTCCCAAATAGTGTACCAATAAAGATTATAGTAGACATAGAAATCACCATTGCAACAGTAAGATCTGATGAAATCATTATTATAGAAACAACACAGCCAGCAATTTGCGCTGAACTTCTTAGTCCTTGAGATATGCATATTTTAAAAGCACTTTTAAAGTCCTGAATATCATTGGTCAACCGACTTACTATTTCACCACTACGGTTCTTATCAAAGAAGGTTTTATCTTGCATAATAATTGATTTAAATAAATCTTGTCGCAATTTCATTGCCAGCCTTTCACCCACATGAGAAAGAGTATAAATATATGCAAATGTAAAAAAGGCCTAAGAGCAAGTATATAAATTATTTGATAAATAAAAAGAATAAATGTATATTACAATTAACTTAATAGCTACGTACTTGTGCAATATACATACGTGCCAATGCAAAGGCAGGCTCCGTAAGTTGCAAAAGCATATTCTTCTCAGATCCAACTTCATTGTTTTGACAGATTTTTGTTAATACATTTATTACACTACCCACACACTGCGGTATCCAAATGTTTAATATAGCTACAGCCAATGCACTCTAACATTATAAATAACATTAAATAAATTTAATATTTATATATAAATATGTATTTATACTAAACTTAAACACTTACTGTCAATGCTATTAATAATTGCCATAGATATGGATGCAGGTAATATAAAAATCTTTTCCATTTAAATTCTACTTCTGGATTATTATTTTCAAGATGTCTTGGTTTAATTCCTTTACATTCTACAATTGAGCTATTTGATTTTATTACACATGTTGCTACTACACCTAAAGCGCCAAAGCCAAACTTTAATATACATGGAATAGTTTTCAATTTTGTACTATTGTCACTTATGCATTCTTTAATGTTAGAATGAAATTTTCTTCTTAATACATTCAGTGACTTGCATCTTTGTCTTAATACAAATGTCAGCAAAGAACACCTACAACAACAAATTTAATTACATTTCTGTGAAATTGACATTTAAAACCACAATGTCATTAACAACTTTAATCTCATACATAATGAGAATTATAAATGAAACATAACATTATTAAGTATAATTTGTACCTTGAACTTTGTGTAGAATTCAAATACGGCTTAAATAACACTGTCCGTAGCATCGACATTTTAATAAATTAATATTTCCTGATAGTTGAACCTGCACAGTCACACTTGTATTTCAATTATTTCCTACTGTACAATTAACACAACGGAATCATTTTGGAAAGCCACCTTGCATAATCTAAGTTTTATAAGATATTAGGAACATTGTTATCGTGTAATAAGACTTATATGAATAGAAAATATACAAGGTTAACTAATAATATTGCATCAAGGGCAGCGCCATGTTTAAATCACGGCCACAGACGTAGGATACATAAGAACAGATGTCGTACTGTGGAAATTTTTGTAGTGACCTCGGGGGTTCCCCTCAGAACCATAATACCATTTTAATATTGTGTCCAACATTACCGACAATTAACGAATTTAAGCTTATTAATAAAAATTACATCTTTTGTATTAACATAGCTACTAAAAATGTTAAATATAACTAGCTGGCAATGAATATATGAACCACGTTAATTTAAACAAGGAAAATAACATTTATCTTTTCAATCCACATATACCGAGCAATTGTTAAAAAAAAAGAAAAAAAAGAGGAAGAATAATGATAAAAATCTTTAATTTGCGAGAGATAGATAAGAGCAGAAGCCTCTGGCACTAAGAACATAAAAAAAATGATACTATTAAAGAAAGAAAGAGGGAAACAGCGTGCATCGTGAATATAAGTACAGTAAAGGGTGTCCGAAGGAACAAAAATATTATTCACTAATTGTTATTATAGTTAGTTCATAAGCTGGAAAGATTAGAGAAGTATTTTTAACCATTTAGCTACTGTACGCCATTATAGCGGCACAATTCTTTCTCTGTCATCGATAGCTGTGCACATTCTAGTCTAATTTAAGGTATTTGCACAGTGGAAAATTCTGTTAGTCTCAAATCGGGCTAGGCCCGCCGTAGCTAAAAGGTTAACCATGAAAGACAACGCAGACAGAAGTCAACGTTGATTAGCATTAATCAGCATTGGTCAATAAGAGTGAGTGGTAGTCAATGCTGATCAATAATGGTCAGCATTAGTCGCTACTAAGATGTAGTAGAAAAAGAGATCACTGCTAGCCAGAGAGATCCAAAGAGATTCAGAATATTCCAAGATTTCAGTAATTAACAAAAGACATATTACCTTCACGCGCAAAGAGTCGCGGCGAACTGTGCATTACACCTGTACCACTTGACGTCGCTGCTCCTGAAGGCCCCAACCCTTAGCCATTGTCACGAAGTTCGGAAACACTTGTTGTTCGACGATGTTTATCAATGTTCATCACGGTTCGTTTAAAAATTTGTGCAGAACACGTTTCGAAATAGAAGTAGTCGCAATTTAACCTCTCAAAGTACATAAATTAACACATTATCTATTCTACTCGACTAAGTCCCTAGAATCTAATAGTTTTCTGCAAGTGTGTTTACTAATAATGGATTACCTAACTGTTAATTACAGTTCATTTAAACGTATCATGAATAGATAAAAACAAGAGTTTCAGAGGTTCATTGTTCAGATAGAAATGGCATAAATAAGAGATCTAGTTAAACCGTAGTATGTCAAAATAAACCAGAAGAAAGTGTGTCTGCGATACGTCCGGGGTTAAATTGACGAGAACGATTGCTAGTCAATCGAAGCGCATTCACCGACGCGATTACAATTGTAAAATGTTCGAGCATCGAAGCGAGCGCGGCTGCGATCATAGAATGGCGGTGTACAACACCAAGGTCTCGTGTCATTGCCAGACTCGCGGAGCACTTAAGCGAGTACTTAATACTACCCTCCCTCGTGTATTCAAGGCGGGGGCGAGCGTTTCAGGCCGGGTGTAATAGCCGCACAGGCAATTAAACGTGGCAAACGCATAAATACACGTTATTAACTTTGCGTACAAAGAGGCTGCCGGGACGATTAGGCCTTTCAAGGCTCAACGGTACACCCTAAAATCTCCTCTTCTACGCAACGAGTAGCAATTTTTTAGAGCTTTCTCGTGCGCGGCCGATGCATTACCAGCCCTGATCAAAGCTCCGTGTTCCTAAGTAACGTAGGAGAACAACAGCGGCCAGTTATTACCCGCAAGAAAAATCCGTGTGTTTTACCGAGATAAGTCTGCGAGTGGCTCGTTACGACCGGGGGCTCGCGTTTTAAGCACGCTTTTGATTTCGCCGAGCGTTCAATCCTTCGTGCTTCAAAACGACCCGTAATACGCGTCTCGAGACTGTCTCTCCCCGTAAACAAGCATTCTTCAAGCATTCGAAAGGAGCTTTTCAAATGTCTCGCTGTTTTTCGACGTACTGCTTCATCTAGCTTTCACTTCGACTCTGAAGTAGTCAATATGCTTAACCGATAGAGGATATAATTGAAATATTAATAATATACGACGAAGCAGTTAAACTTAATTCTCACTGTAAATGTAACTATATTTCAAGGATTTAGTATCAATAATAAATTGTCTTCCAGTGATCCTAGTAATATTTCTTAAATTGATCCAGAAATCTCCGCTACAAGTCTCACCTGACTACTAAACCGATCCTACGGAACATAATCAATCTTAATCTTTATCACAGAATCAATGGATCTAATTAGAGTACGGTTCATAAACTTCCAGCAGAAGTCAGCCCCATCGATCAACGCCCCCCAGTCGGAGGCGCTAACGCGGGAAGTCCTCGACCAGGATCGATCGTACCAGTTCCAGAAGCCCCGAAAAACAGAGAAAAAAGCCGGGAAGGGGTTGGCAAAGAGACTCCATCGTTTATTCTGCACGCGCAACGGATCGCGCGGGCAGAGGCGGCGCGCGTTAAAACTGTTTCTTCGACAAAGGCCATCGAGCCTCGAGGTCAGCCTCTTAACCCAGATTCCCCGAAGACACTCGTGCCCCGTGTGCACACGGTCCTCGTTCATCGGCGAGCGTCAACGACGCCCGGTGTCCCTTTAACCGTGTAAAACCGCGGCGAGTTTTTGGCGCGGAGCAACGCGGAGGGCTGGAATGGGACAATAACGCGTGTTACATAGTCAGTGGCATAGAAAGAAAAAGAAAACTGCGGAATTCTTCGCGAAGGAACACACGAAAGAGAAGGCGGACGCGCGGGAAGATTAAAAAGAAAGAGAAATTCCAGTATAAGCGTAATAACTACGACAGTGTACCCGGTGATACGCCGGTAAAAGAATGGTCCAAATGAAGCCTCCTAACTTTCAACACCCTCTTCGCCGGTAGCCAGCCACCCTCCGCCCCCTGGCCGCGCCATCCCACCGATTCTCTCTCCAACTTCAACTTCCCTTTGTTTCCTTTCTCTTTTTTCGCCGTTCCCACCCCCGGCTCGTTCTCCGCCACCCCCCTTCCATCCTCTCCTCAT